TAAAGATACTCAACATCATTAGTCATTAGGGAAATGCAAATTAAAATCTTAACAAGATAGCACTACACACCTATTAGAATGGGTAAAATTTAAAAGGCTAATCGTAGCAAGTGTTGGAGAGGATGTGGAAGAACTGGAATTCATACACTGCTGGTGTGAATGCAAAATGCGCAACAACCCTGGAGGAGTTTGGAAGTTTCTTAAAAAGTTTAAATTACACCTACAGTATGACCCAGCCATTTTACTCCTAGTTATTTGCCTCAAAGGAAAGGAAATACTTGTCCATAAAAGACTTGTACGCAAATGTTCCTGGCACCGTTTTTGTAAGAGCCCCAAGCTGGGAATAACACACTATTAGCAAAGGGGGTAGGGGGGAGTGACTTTCATTATTTCTGGTGGTAGTACAAATTTTAATTCCTACATATTGTGGCAAAAGCCATCAAAATGATAACTGTCCTACACACAAAGCTGTATATGTATAGAATGATACATGTACAAGGTTACTCACATAGGTTTGTCTATAATAGCAAAAGGATGGAAACTGTTCAAGTGTCCATCAATAAGGCAATAGATTTTTTTCTCAAAAGGTATTTAACACCCTCTATTAGTTTGCAGGGGCTGCCAAAACAAAATATTACAGACTGGGTGTCTTAAACAAAAGAAATTTATTTTCTTACAGTTCTGGAGGCTAGAAATCCAAAATCAAGGTTATTAGCAAGTTTGTTTTTCCTGAGGCCTCTGTCCTTGACTTGCAGATGGCTGCTTTCTTTGCTATTACATTTTGTACTACATGAAAACATTGTTTTTTCTAAAGTTACAAAATAGAATAAATTCAACTCATCCAAAAATACTATCAATTGTGAAAAGCAATAGATCATCTGAAATCTACATCTTCCTCCTCTAAATCCTAAAAGATTAGTGCATTATCATTTCAGATACTTCTTTTAGTTACATGACTAAGACAAAAAAAGGGGAGACAGATACATATTAGGAATGACCATATGTAGAGAAAAGAAAACAATTCCTCAAAACATTTCGAAATATAGAATAAAATATTTAGAAAAACATGATTAACTGAAATTTACTTAAGAAAAAGTAGAAAACTTGACCATAAACTAAAGAAAATAAAAAATTCATCAATGATCAACATCTCTCTCCAAAGAAGACTCATACTGAGATGGTTCTATAGGTATTAATGCTATTTTAAAAGGTACATTTCTATTAGAAATAGATAAAGTAACAAGCACCACTAAAAAGAGACACCAGAACACTGACACCCCATCTGACTGTGGGGCCTCTCATTCTGCCTTCATGTGGTTCACGTGGCCTCTTCACTGAATCTGGGCGCCTATGACTGTATTAATTGACTGGATTTGGCAGAAATGGTACTAGTTCAGTACTAGGCCTAGCCCTTCAGAAAACTAGCAGCGGGACTTCCCTCGTGGCACAGTGGTTAAGAATCCGCCTGCCAAAGCAGAGGACACAGGTTTGAGCCCTGGTCCGGGAAGATCCCACATGCCGTGGAGCAAATAAGCCTGTGTGCCACAACTACTGAGCCTGCACTCTAGAGCCTGCGAGACACAACTACTGAGCCCACGTGCCACAACTACTGAAGCCCGCATGCCTACAGCCCGTGCTCCACAACAAGAGAAGCCACCGCAATAAGAAGCCAGCACACCGCAACGAAGAGTAGCCCCTGCTCGCCGCAACTAGAGAAAGGCCGCGCGCAGCAATGAACATCCAACACAACCAAAAAAATAAAAAAATTTTTAAAACAATGTAAAAAATTTTTTTAAGAAAAGAAAGAAAACTACCAGCACCCACATCCACCCTCTTAACACTGCAGGCGTCCTAAGCTGCCAAGTGAGAAGCCCAGCCAGCTTGCTGGAGAGAACCACGGGAGAGGCCCACATGGAGACCAGAGGCTAAGCCATCCTGGCCAAGCCACCACCTGAATGCAACTGCATCGGGGACCCCAAGCAAGATCTCCAGAACCTCCGAGCTGAGCCCACTCAACCCACAGAACTGGGAGAACTAATAAAATGGTGTCATTTAAAGCCACTGTGTTCAGATGGCTGTTTCATAGGAACAGATTATTGAAAACACTGACAAAGTATAGACACATATGTGAAGACACACACGTTTCCCTCTTCCCAAACACTATAAACCAGCATCACTCACAGTTACAAAATTCCACAATAAAATAACACCAAATCAAATCCTGCAGTTCACTGAATGGTTAACACACCACAGCCAAGAAGAATGTTAAAAATGGAATGCAAGATGATAGTTCAACAATAAAATTCTATATATATAATTCATAAACTTTAGGGAGTTAAGTGAGAAACCATATATGATCATCACTTAAGTTCCCCAAGTGTACTTGGAAAAATCATGTTTGTTTACTACCACTGTTTTGTTTTATTATGGTATTAAATTTATTTTGAGGTTTCAAGTTGCACTGGCCACAAGTTTTGGTAGTTTTCCTGGAGAAGTATGGGATAGAGAGATTAAGAAGACTGTGGCATTCCAGTCAAGTCAGGAAAAAGATAAGCTGTTAGCTATTACCAGCAGTAGTCAACATTTTCCTGACAGTTCTAGACAACAATATCAATGTGAAAAAGAAATGAGTTTATATAGGAATGTGGCCAAATCATCATAATTTACAGCTTTTTTATATGTATCAGCCAAAACCAATTAGAAAACATAATAGAAACGAAGATTCCGTTCATATTAGAAACAAAAACTAGAAAGTAATTGGGCAAACACTAAAAAGAAATGGGATTGCACTTATATCCGTAACCAGTTAACGGTGGACACGCTGGATGGTGGTATTTTTTACACTGTATTTTTTTTTACCTTTTTAACTGTGCATATATTACCTCTATAATAAGAAAAAAACATATATTTTAAAATTCTAGCCACAGTTCTAGAGCCAGTCAACATAAATCAATAAAACCTACAAAATTTTAACTTTTCAACAAGCATACATTCACTTCAAATAAGGAATATACTTATTACTTTATTCTGGGAACTAAACAGAAAAGTACAACATATATCAATAATTTACATACAGGAATGATGCTGGGCTGGCAACAGGGCAATGGCCTTCACTGCTGTCTGTCCTCATGGCTGATTCACACGGACTCTAGGATCACCTGCACATGGTTCCACACGCTTGGAAGAGCAAAATGCAAGGAAAGGAAGTGACCACTGATGGACAGTTAAAACATCATCCATCCCATTCACTAGGGAAATATTCCATATTGTTTATTGCCAGAGATTCAGATGAAAATCTGATGTGGCTACGAACCGATGGGAGGAATTATTTCTAAAAATGAGGGAATTCCCTGGCAGTACAGTGGTTAGGACTTTGTGCTTTCACTGCTGAGGGCATGGGTTCAGTCCCTGGTCTGTAAAGTAAGATCCCACAAGCCGAGTGTCGCGGCCATAAAAATACATACACAAAAACAAACAGTCTGTCAAGGGCTGCCCACTGACCTAAGTACGTGTGTTGTGAAAACATGCAGATCCACACCCTAGGTAGAGCCTCTCTATAGCTTGATTTCTTGAGTATAATTTTGGCCAGAAACATTTGCCTGTTTAAGAAATAAACTGCACAGACAGTGTCAGGTACTGTGTTTATCTGGATTTTAAATTTGAATGCCTGAGATTACAGCCCAGCATCATTCATGTACGTAAATTATTGATATATGTTGTACTTTTCTGTTTAATTCCCAGAATAAAATAATAAGTATATACCTTATTTGAAGTGAATGTATACTAGTTGAAAAGTTAAAATTTTGTAGGTTTTATTGATTTACGTTGACTGGCTCTAGTCACTGGTCATGGAGGGGACTGGTGCGGAAAGGCCACTGACCACCAGGCAAGACCACTCTGTGCCTCTCCCATGTCTACCATTTTCAGTTTATCAGGCAACAGAAACTGCGCTCCACTTAGCTGACCAGCTCTTCATGTGACTTTCTGGTCACTGTGACTGTTGGGGAGAAACTGCACAAAGTTCCTTTCCTAGCCCCAATTTCAATTTCCCTTTCCAAAGGGGAGATCCTGGTGCTCACCCCACAAGCTCGCAGACACGCATGAGCCAGATCAGCCACCACTGCTGGAAATGGGCAAAATCCATTGTGTCCTTCCTTTCTTCCTTAACAGCCAGGTGATAAGTTAACATGTTATTAAACATTAAATATGCTGAAAATTTTATAAGCCATCAGCTCCACCTGCCCATGTGATTTGGAAACAGGAATTGCAGGAATTCAGCTCCCCGGGTTGCACAATGCACACTTCCAGCAACACAAGATGCACAAGGACCTCCTATCTCCCTATACAGCCAGGTGAAACTTCCTCATTGTTTAAAAGAGATTAAAATGTAATATTGATAATTTACTTTCATTAAACAAAAACACACTATAGTATTTTGGGAACTGTATATAGTATTTTGGGAATTGTAGGAATGTTGTGATTACAGATACAACTTACCACACAAAGGGGAGAATCCTGTACAATAGAAAAATAAACCACTTCCACCTTGTGAGCACAGAATGAGAAGATGGCGGTGTATGAACTAGGAAGCACTCTCGTTAGGCACAGAATCTGCTAAAGCCTTGATCCTGGACTTCCCTCTAGAACTGTGGACAGCAGATTGGATATGTGGAGTCTCTGTATGGCAAGAATTCAAACCCTCTGTTGAGAACTGATGCTTCAAAATGCAAGCATACAATATAGATTCAAAAATATGTTTACCATGGAAGGTTATAGAATTATATTTGGAAATTAAATAAAAGAGAAACTAAAGTTCAAATGAAAATAAAGAAAAAGAAAAACAAACCATATTCCTTGGCCAAGCATTCCTGGTTAAAGTAAGTCTAAATTTTAAAACCAAAAAGTGGTGGGCCTGGGGGAGGTGGAGAGGGAGGTGGAGAAGTGTCCTTGGTTGGGTCCAGCCTCGAACGGGGAAACCTTGGCAGCCATCTGGCGCGAGGTCACGATAGCACATGCTCCAGGATGCCTTGTCTAATCAGCTGCTCACACTTCCACCGAGGTAGAAAGTGCTGAGGAAAGAAAGGAAGGAAGAAAAAGGAATGAAAAGAATGTTAAATTACACGATGCATCATTAAAAAGCAGCAACGCATTATATATATATTTCAAACTCCACCAGCTAAGTAGTTAAAAGCTAAACTTAAGTATTTTTGCTATTTTAATCAACTGAAATGGACGTCACCTAGAGCTGTACTGAAATCTGAATTTTATAAACAAATTCACATTTTGCTTAAGTTAAATTTAACTAAAGAGTTTTGAATTCTAGTAGGTATTTTCCTTAATGTTTGTGTTTTAAAATTTATGCACAGGGGCTTCCCTGGTGGCGCAGTGGTTGGGAGCCCGCCTGCCAATGCGGGGGGCACAGGTGCGTGCCCCGGTCTGGGGTGATCCCACGTGCCGCGGAGCGGCTGGGCCCGTGAGCCATGGCCGCTGAGCCTGCACATCTGGAGCCTGTGCTCCGCGACGGGAGGGGCCACAACAGTGAGAGGCCCGCGTAACGCAAAAAAAAAAAAATTATGCACAGAAAACCCAGGTAGGTGAGATTTGGGGCACTGGATCACAAGTGGTACAGCAACAGCTCATTAGGAAGGCAAACAGAAGGAGTGTCTTCTCCATTAAACCTTTTCTAGGATCTGAGTCTGAACAGTCATTCTTCTACTAACAGTGCAACTCTTCTCCCATATCTTCCAAGGATTAAAAGTCACTGTAACCTATGACATGGGTGCTGGTCACACGCTGTGTGTGAGGATGCCAGTGCCTGGCTAAGGCTCATCCTCAACGTCTCCTGAGAGGACACTGCTCTCGTTCTGAGGTGGAAAGGAGTCTCCTTGTCTGATTCCCTCTCAAAACACCAGGGCTTAAAACAAAAGTGAACATTTAGTAAACTCTGGAGCAGGGAGGTGCTGGAAGTGAGGCAGGAAGACTTTCCAAGCTCACCAGTGACCAAAGAAATCTCAAAGACAAGACAGAGATACTTGGGTAAAAACAAGAAACAGTACATTAGAAAGTGCAGTGTAGGTAACCCTAGAAAGTAACTGAAGGAGAGAGTATGCAAAGTATTCAAGGAAGCGGATGCCACTTCAGTGGCACCGTGCACCTGACAGTCCTCCACAAACTCAAAGGCCTCAGGTGAGACCCATGACCAAAGAAACTCCTCCAAACCAGTCATGAGGACCCATGGGCCAAGGACTGTTGTCTAATTTAACCGAATTTTTTAAAAGCCTTAAGAATATAAAATGTAAAAATAAAATAAAAAAGAGAGAGAGAAAAAACTATAGAGTTGTTCATTTAACAATTATTCCAATATCTAATAAAAAGAGGGAGTTCTGATTTCTGGACAACCTGAGAAGCATGCTTGCCATAGAGTCAATAATAAAGGAATGTACAGTAGGAAAATATTTCCCTATTAATATTTTACATTATGTGGGTGATCTACACTATAGATTTTATAGAAAACTGGTTTCAGATGTGCTCAGACATTTTAAAAGCCCCTTAATATCAATTAGAGTAGATTATGCTTTTAAGTTTCCCCATTTTTATACGGTGATAATGAGAGACAAAGTCTCATTAAGAAGAAGGCTTCTGAATGCGCCACACAGTAAACAGCAATCGTCTAACAGCAGCAGACGGAGGAGGGACTGGGTTTTGGTTGCCCTGGCCCCACCCAGGCCCTCCCTGCTGAGGAGTCTTAGTACACCTGGTGGGAAGACTGGCCACAAAGCTCGAGAAAGAAATTCAACCATGGGACACTGTTTGGGGTGAAGTGCATTTTCTCAAATCTTGCTTTATGAGGCTAGCTTTGTTCTTGTGAACCCAGAGCTTCACCATCTATTTTCTATTCATTAGTATCCTTGGAAGGGAAACTTTTGCCTTAACAACCAAAGATTTTAGGGTACCCTGAAAATCTGTCTTTAATAATTTCAACTTTTGTTTCAGGAAACTATTTAAAACTCCAAGGGTACTAGTAAAATAAGAGACCAACTCACCCTCCCTTAGGGAAATGAGCTAAGAACCACATAACCAGAACCATTCTTTGGCTCAACATAACAAACAGAAGTCAACAAAAGTGACTAGGGTCATTAAATACCGACCGTCTCATAACAAGATGGCAGGCAACAAAGGAAAGAGGGGTTTTTACTAGTTCACCTTTCCTCTTATGCTAATATGACTACAGAAAATAGAGACAGGATAAAGTCAATTTAGCTAATGTGAATTCATCTAATGTGAACTTGAAGATTTCTAAGGAAACAATAAATTGAGATTCTTCGTAAGGAAAAATTTAGTGAGTTACAATTTCACAATTTCAGTCTTTCCCTATTAAATTCTATTATGTTTATATATTAAATACTTAGAAAATTTTTCATCTATTTGTTAGCTAAAGAACTAAGATTTACAAGGTGAAGAAGTATAGGCTGAAAACTAGTGCTTAGCACCTTTTTAATAAATAATAATTTGAAGAAAGGAGCTAAATGCAACAACATAATAGCCCCTTAACTAGAGTAAGACCCACTGTGGCAACTTCCCAGGGAAATGCTTAGTATTAAATTCAAGCAATACCCTAGTAAATTATAGCTAATGCTTGAGCATGGGTTTGAACTGCATGACTCCACTCAAATATGCGTATATATATATATTCACACACACACACACACATATATAAAACCTGTATTTTCATTTTACAGATCTTTAAATTGACTAAGTATGGGGAAAAGTTTGTGTTCAATTAGAGATCACAACAGGTGGGATCAAAAGAACTAGAGTTTGGGTTCTAATTCTATTCAAACTGTTTTAGCTTCCAGCCTTTGGATGAGTCATTTATCAATCCCTTTGTTTTTGAGGCAGAGAGAAATACTCAGATTTCCGACTGTGTGGGGAGAGGGGAGTCTGTAGGCTCCCCTAACCCCTGTGCATTGTTCAAGGGTCAACTGTAATTAACCCTTTCTTACTATATGCAACGTTTGCTTCACGTCTTTACATTTAGAAAAAAGACAAAAGACTATTTTATAATAAACATAATTCCTACGATACAAACGATCATCACAAGGTGATACTTACCTTGCTCCTGATTCCAACATTTTCATAATTCAACACTCTTACAAAATTTAAAGTATCTTAAGACAATAAATACCTGGCTATTTTTTTTTAATAGGACTGAAGTACCATCATCAACTTCAAATTCTCCATAGTCTTTTAGACACCGCACCTGAAAAGAAAAACAGATGTTTTATCCAAATTACTTTTTAATATGTAGAAACCATAAAGCAGATGGGGGTTTATATATACCCATATGAAAAGTATTAGGCTTTCTCTTTATTTCTTCTCTGTGTACTTAGGCCTAGTACTCCTTCCTGGGGTATTCTAGTGGTTCCAATTGTCCTGTTTTGACGGAGAGGAAGAAAAATGGCAAATCTCTGAATATATGTGTACGTCAGCACTGACAGCAAGGAAACCTAAGGAGCTGCCAAAAAGAGACAATGTCACTGGATTGTTTTCCCTCTGCAAATTGTGAAAAATCAAGCAGTTGAAAACACATCTACAGGGACTTCCCTGGTGGTCCAGTGATAAAGAATCCGCCTTACAATGCATGGGACGCAGGTTCAACCCCTGGTCAGGGAACTAAGATCCCATATGCCACAGAGCAACTAAGCCCATGCAACTAAGCCTGCGCACCACAACTACTGAACTTGCGCACCTCAACTAGAGCCCGCGAGCCACAAACTACAGAGCCCACGCGCCCTGGAACCCTGTGCCACAACTACAGAGCCCACATGCCCTGGAGCCCATGCACCACAACCAGAGAAGAGAAAACCCGCACGCCACAACTGCAGAGAAGCCCGCACACCACAACAAAAGATCCCTCATGCCTCAACGAAGATCCCACGTGCCACAACTAAGACCGGACACAGACAAAAATAAAATTAAAAAGAAAACAAAAAAACCCCCATATCTACAAAGAAAAGAGAACATTTTAGATCTATCCCAACCTGCCTCTTACAGATTCCTCCCATAAAGTATCAATATCTGAGAACAGGACATAAGTCTATTAAGATTTGTTTTACAGATTCTGCCAATCTCCTTTGATTGATTGATTCAGACTCCTTCCCAGTATTACTTAGAAGCACACTAGGAAAGAAAAGATATAGACTCATGCTACAAGAATCAGCAGAGGCTCTTAGCTGGAAGGTGGGAGGGGTAAGGAGCCTGATAACCACTTCTGCAATTGCAAAGAAGGAACATTCAAAGGTAGCCTCAGAAATCTCAGACCTGGCTCAGCTTCAAGTGCTGCCACAGGAAGACGGGAGGGCATTTTCATCTCCTATGAGAGTTCAGACCTCAGTTTATTCTCCAGAGTACCAGCACTGGTGTTAGCAAAGCCAACTCCAATGGCAAGTCTCAGATTCCTACTTTTCCTGGATAATTTCACGTCCTATGATTCCTTTGCAATCCTACCATGACTCTCAAGGGTTTTTTAAGTTGGTTTGAGAAATATAAGAAAAATCCCCACCACCACCAGCATTTTGCTTCTTTAAATAGACTTTTATTGTGGAAAATCTCAAACACATTGAAAAGTAAAAAGGCTAATAAACTCAATGTCCCACCAACTGGCTTCAACTACTATCGACATGTGGCCAATCTTGTTCCCTCGCCCACTTCTGGGTTATTTTGAAGCAAATCCTAGACATCATTTCATCTAATCTATAATTATTTTAGTGCTTATTCCTATAAAATAAGATTTTTTTAAAAAATCCCAATACCATCATCACATCTTATTAACAATTTTTTAATATTATGAAATACCCAGTTAGAATCCAAATTTCCCCATTTTGTCGCATGAATTTTATTTTTAAGTCGCCATGCTCAAATGAGAGTCAAACGAGAGCTACACATTACACATTTCTGATATGTCTCCAAGTCTCCTTTAATCTACAGGGTTCTCCCCCTTCCCCTTTTCCTTGGCAACTTATTTGTTAAAGAAACTGGCCAGTTTGGTAGTTTCCCAAAAAATAGATTCTGTTGTGGACTCCTGTGGGGTCATTTAACATGCTCCCCATCCCTGAATTTCCTACAAACTGGAAGTTAGGTGTAGGGGCTGGATTCGATCAGGTTTAGCTTTCTGGCAAATGGTGTTATGATGTCGTGAAGCACAAAATGTCTGGTGTCCCTTTTTATTTTTTGGGTTTTTTTTTTTGGCTGTGTTGGGTCTTCATTGCTGCACGCAGGCTTTCTCTAGTTGCAGCGAGTGGGGGCTACTCTTAGTTGCAGTGCATGGGCTTCTCATTGCGGTGGCTTCTCCTGTTGCAGAGCACAGGCTCTAGGAGTGATGGTTTCAGTAGTTGCAGCACACAGGCTCAGTGGTTGTGGCACACAGGCCCTAGAGCGTGCAGGCTTCAGTAGTTGCAGCATGTGGTCTCAGTAGTTGTGGTGTGGGGGCTCTAGAGTGCAGGCTCAGTAGCTGTGGTGCACAGGCTTAGCTGCACAGACTTAGTTGCTCTACAGCATGTGGGATCTTCCTGCACCAGGGATCAAACCTGTGTCGCCTGCATTGGCAGGCAGATTCTTAACCATTGCGCCACCAGGGAAATCCTGGTGTCCCTTTTTGGATGTTAAGATTGATCAATGGGCCTAGGTGCTATCCATACCCATCCACTACTAAGGTCTCTCTTAAGCTTTTCACCTAATGCTTTAGCAGCTACTTGCCTCCATCCATTAGGGTTACAAAACGGCATTAATGTAGTTTTTTTATTCCTGCT